TTTTTACATGTTACAGGTCCTTAAGAAAAATTTTAAAAGCATTTAAATCCAGATTCAAGACACTCTGAAAATTATAATTTTTAAAAGTTCTAAAATATTGGTAAATGGAAGTAAAATTCTCAAAAAATATATTTATTAAGAAATTTGTATTTAAAATTGGAAATTTACACAAACCTTTGGTCTCCAAGGTATTAAATTTGGTCTCCAAGGTATTAAATCTTTGTAAGGGAAAGTCTCACCCAAGATTCTAAGTATATTAGTGTTGAGGAACAAGTGGGAATGTTTCTATTCACCATAGCTAATCGCATAATACAAGAATGATTCCAACACTCTAGTCCAACAATTAGTTGGTATTTTGGAAGTATTCTTAAAGCTATTTATACATTAGCACCTCGTTAAATTGCCTCTCATCAACAAATACTCCTCTAGATCCGATATAGTGATATTTACTTCCCTTTCTTCAAGGTACAATTCATACAACATGATTTCCAAATTTATATTTTATTATCATCAGTATCTCACCAAAATTGTATCTTATGAAAGATTGTATTGGAGCAATTGATGGAACTTACATCCCTGTGACAATCGATACTAAGAACCAAACCCCATATCACAATCGAAAAGGCCTTCTTTCCCAGAATATTATGGCAGCATGTCCATTCAATCTTTTATTCACGTATACCTATGCAGTGTGGGAGGGCTCTGTTGATGATTCTACAATTCTCCAAGCAGCTTGACAAAATGGCTTCCATGTTCCCCGAGGTACTTCTAAATCGTGACTAAATTAATAATACTTTTGTAAATAAGTCATTGATCGTTTAGATGTTTTCAAATAAACTACGTAAATACTACCTAATTGATGCAAGTTATGAAAACACCCCAAATTTTACTGCTCTATATTGTGGAGTCCATTACCACCTTATTCAATTGGAGACATTTTTATCTAAGAAATGTTATAGAGCCCATATTTGGTGTACTTAAAGCACTTAGTTATGCTTTCAAGGCCACCTGCACGCCTAATTAAATAACAAGTCGAGTTAGTTATTGTAATGTGCTTCTTATATATTTTTATTCGTACACATTCTGGAGGTGATGACTGGCTCTATAAGGAACATGACAAGGAAAATCAAGATCAAGTACATTGACCAGAGGATTTTGAAGAAAAATAGTATCCCAAATCTTACTTCAGTAAGTAATCCACGTGATACAGGTAGTCGATTATGAGACAACACTTCACATGTATGGGCTGATTATTGTAACTGAAGAAGCTAATTTGTGAGTTGGTTAATGATATTACGTTAGGTCATAAAGGTTTTATTCTTTTACATATGGGATTGTGTACCTCTTTTTTAAAAATAACTTTTTCACTACTAGCTTAGATATTAAATTGTCTGATTATCCACAAATAAATAAAAGCACACATGTATTTCCACGTTCTTTTTTATTTATTGACATGACTTACCTTATAGTGACATGTAAACTACATGCGCAATGTTTAGATTACAAGAGAGAGAGAGAGAGCATTTTTTTTATCTAATGTTACTGCCCTTCTTATAAGGAATTAGCTCTATAAGAATTTTAAGAAGAAAATAAATAAAGATACATGACTCTAAATTAAGATGCACAAGCTAAGCACAAAATATAAAAGTTACCGACTAAATCAATACATCCAATAAAGGATCTTCTTTTCGTTTTTTTTTACAATAATCAACCCACATATTATGTCTAATGCTATCTCATAATCAAGTACCTGCAACTTGCTTAAGCTAAATCTTGGTCATTCTCATCTTAAGAATCCCCCAATTGATATGCTTGACCTTATTAATTGGCATGATTGCCATCCAACTTGAAACATTGCTGAAATCATGATTTTTGCCTCTTTAAATGCTCATAACTCATTCAAAACATGAATTTTTTTATCGATTATTGGTACAAAACAATCGTAGGGCCGATGCCTACAAAAATCTGCAACTAAAATTACAAAAAAATCATAAATCTTGCTAAATAAAGGGAATTTGTGTATAAAAAGATGCATAAAGCTAAAATATTTCAATGTTCATCACAAAAAGACCAAAAGCTCCACCAAAACTTGGAGTTTTTGGATGAAATTTAACGCGAAAAGACAGTGTCACAATGCTGGTGGATTTGGAGGAGATAGATCGCTCATTTTTTAGGGATATATGCTAAAATCTTTACCTTTCTTAGCCTAGTTTCACTACACTTTTGGGTTTGGACAGGAATGAAAGTTGATAATCCACCCACCTATCTGCCCTAAAGTTAATAATCCACCCATATTTAGAATAATCACCATATAAAATCATAATTACCTCACCTCATTTTAGAGAGACAAAATCGTTTGGTAAGGTTTGAGAGCTTAAAAGTTCTAGAGAAAGAAAAACCTCTCCCTTAGAGTGAGAAACCCTGAACCCCCATCCTTAACCTTGGTTAAACTCCACCCAAAGCCCTAACCCTAGTTAGGTAAAATTCCCAAAATATACTTTGACAAGAAATACAAAGGCAAATGTACCCTACACTCGAGGCATAAAACATTGGGGGCCAATATGTGCCAAATTGCCTCTTTTCTGAGAGAAATTATGGTACATTTTGAGAGTCCATAACTCCAGAAGCATTGTAGGAGAGTGTTGGGCCCCTCCCAGTATCTAAATTTGGGTTGGTTAAGAGGCCCACAAAAGACCCAGGGTAGTATGAATCCAAAGTTCCAAGGTAAGTATTCTGCAATGATTTCGTGCAACGGTTGTATAGTAATATGATGTAATAACATTAAAAAAGCATGGTATGACAATTTGTTTGATCCAAAATTTGAAATATACACTCTTATCATTCTAATGAACAATAAAAAAAAAGAAAAATTTGAAAACATAGTCTAAAAAGTATTTTTTTAGCCCAATTAATGTAGGCAGTTCATTTTGGTGAGATGCTTAGATATAGGCTTTAGAAGGAGTTTTTTCATCTTCAATTTTATTGGATGGCTTTATTATTATTAGATGAACAATGTTAAAAAGCAAAAAAATGATTTTGAATTTATAAAGGCTAAGATCTTGAAATTAACCAAATGAATGGTCTAGATTCGTTTTTGGAGGGGGCTTATTTTGGCCATATCTAGGGTTCAAATTGAACTGTTTTTTTGGTGATTATTGAGATGAAGAGTATGTGTGTTCAAAATTTTGAGTCATACAAATACCACAAACATGGTTTCCTAGAAGTGTAGTTGCATTATACTATGATACAACCGTTGCATAAAATCACTGCTCGTAAGTATTTTATATTTTGTGCTTATTTATCTTTTTAGATGAAAGTTTGATGTTGTTATTTTATGTGTCTGAAATTTAAATTTTTGCTTTAACTAAAAAAAGAGTCATAAAAAAAAAATTTTAATTAACAAAATCACACATGCAGACCAATGCCATTAGCTTATGCAAAGACACATGCAGCACAGACCAATGCCATTAGCTTATACAAAGCCCATAAGATAAACACATCCATATATAGAAAGGGAGTTTCCAAAAGAGTAGTTCATCATAGTGGATCTCAAAAAAAGAAGAAGAAGGTTACTGCTAAAAGGGATACAAAGAGTTCAAAAAAGCATGTGAAAATAAGAAATTACCTATGTAGAAGCTTCTATAGGCTCATAGCTTTGGAAAATCTCCTAAACAGACCCCAAGATGAGACCAAATGTCATATTTAGTAATAAACCACATGTGATTCAAGAGGGAATTTTTTTGGGGGGTCTTTTTTGAAACTTAAACTAATTATAGAAATAATTATATGTTGGATTTATGTGGTCTTTTTTGACACCATACTTGATCCTTGTGACTTGTCGGGCCTCGAGAATCCGGGGCCCAAAAATGGTACCTAAAAGTCTCACAAAACCCATTGTCCATGAGGGCATGGAGCAATTAGCCCGATAGTTACCATAGAGGATTGTATGTTATCCTCTGTCGAGGTCAGCATGTGGCCTCGTGGATGTGTGTTGCCATGGCATGTGTTAATGGTTCTTCGCTATATATGTGTGTGCTCCTGTGTGGGTAGGCTTAAGGGCAAGAGCTAAATCTCAATATTTATCAAAATATCGTATGTGCATATGATAGTCGTTTTTAAGAAGCCATCTGATCTATCACATTGAGAATATATGCATGTGCTCGAGAGAGGAGCTACCGCACCCGTGCTTTGTGATGCTTTTCCTTTAAAGTTCACCTCAAATCCATTAAATCCCGATACTCCATTAAATCCTAAAACCCCGTCATCTGTTGATTGACTTTGATGGCCCAACCATTAGCTCCATTAGCTCCTACTTAAGATTATGAGTCCTTGCGTTGATGTTTTTTGAATAAGTAGTCCTTGTGATGATTTGATAAAATGCAAGCTAACTAGAATGCCTCAGTATCAAACCCTAAAGGTACCTAATTTACTCGAAAGATTTTTCTGACAACCCATACCAATTTAAAATATTAAAATAAGTTAAAAAATGATTATTCATAATTGTAAGCATTTTATATAATTTTTTTTTGTAACCTAAATAGGCTAGGGAAATTAATTTTAAAAAAATTCAGTTAAGGATAGACAAGGTACCTAGACGTGTGAGGGACACATGCCACACCCTCAATTCCATGAGCATTCCATGTGCTAAGGGAGAGAGGATCTTTATTTTCATTTCAAATTTAAAGTGAGAGACTTCCAATCTAAGGGGCATGCCACCCCCAAATTTCAATCACTCTCTCATCCACTAGATTCTCAAATGGGCAATTAATAAATTATACAAAAATTTGAAATTGATTTAGTGCATTTAACTGTTGAGATGTATGTGTTCATTGGTGTTTTCATCCTGAGATCGCTTGCCTTTGTATCCAATCCACCTCTGTATCAAGTCCAACTCAAACGATTCCTGAGTCAGCCGGGCGACTTTTGAGCCATTGGTATAAATCTATCTAAAAAAAGCTACAAATAATGAAGGAAAATGTTTTCCACAGAGAACAATAAGCAAAATGGGGGGCTTAAGTCCAGTGAACAAACCATTATATGATAAATAGTACAAACCAAACATCAAATGGAACTAATGAACTGAGCAAAGAAACAGAGTGTTTCTAGTTTCTAGAGGCAAATTCAAGAGAAATTGGTCCAAAAAGACCAAAAGAACAGAGATAAAAGAAAAGGAAAAACCCCCTCATGGTTAATAGGCATTTACTTCTTTTCTTCCTTTTGGTTCTTTTTTTTTTCTGTGTATTTACAGGACTGGGCTGTATGGCCATGAGAAATGCTCCGGTCAAGAAGAAGGTGAAGCAGTAGCACAAACCGCCACTAAAATTGCAATACAACAAAGAGAGCAATGGGTTTGATCGTACAGTTTTTTTTATAGAGTGTCAACAATTTTTGGGCCCTCGTACTCAGCACCCACAACTTTTAAAGAGCCAGGCCTCTCGATCTCTTCCAACCATGCGTACTCACCGCCATTCTCTTGAACTGAGACTGCATCACCTTAGATAGGAAAGAAAGAGAAGATCAAAAGGGGGAATATCAGCACTGAAATCAGAAATGTAAGGACAAATTTTTATAATAGTTATTGTGCTTTGCTTATTAGGAGAATAAGCTAGTAGTAGCAATAAAGAAAACTCTAATTTTCTCCAAAAATGTAGATTGTCCTTAACTCCTAAAAAATTAGCTTCAAAACTTCTCTCCTTTTTCTTGAATTTTTTGGTGACAGGAAAGTATTTGACGCGTCTAATGACTCATGCATCCCCTGCACAATAAACAACATATTTCCGGACTGCAAAAAATGGGACCCTATAAAAAATTTAATACTGACAGTCCAAACAAAGTTGCCAAAAATATCACATCTTAAGTTTCAATATTTATTTCATTTTTTGTATTCATGATCCCCATGATAGAGATCATACTCCAAAAATTGCATCCAAAGCCCATGTCTAAGATGGATCTTAGAGGGAGGACTCGTGCGAATAGATTACTCAGAAAATTCATCAAAACCAGACCCTTCAATGAAATGTGTATGATCGAAATTGAACAACAATGCAGACTTAAACTAATAAGCATTCAAGATGCAGCTCTGCGAGTTTCAACACAATTTCAAAAATATCAGGTCCAAACATTGCCCCCAATGTACTTTAATTTCACTAGGTCCAAAACAAAATTTTGTCCAAAAAAAAACACAAATCCGAGGTCTGCGATGAAACCAATTTTTACGGCATATAATGAAAACCTTTCTCCATGGGCAACCATTCGACTAAAACAAAATTATTAAGGATTGAGACAAGTGCTCCAATCCACTAGGCTAAAGAAGATAAAGTGGTGTACCCCAATCCTTTTCCAGACTGCACTCTAATACCATACACATAAACAGAAATTTCACATGCCTCTCTGTGCACAAAGAAAAAAGAAAAAAAGGAAATAAAAGGAAGATGCTTGGATCCTTGATTACCTGAGAAACTAGGATATGGAAATTCATGAAAATATGTGCAATGCCGGCCCTTGGAGTCATTATAAGGTGGGCCAAACACATCGAGCACAGCGCATGCCGTTTGGGCATGGAAAGTGTGCATGTTGCCACCCGAAGTCGGATAGAGAATGGAAGTCTTACATGGCGCATTAAAGTCTGAGTCCACCTTCACCTTTGCTAGTCGAACAGAACTCGTGGTCTCTGCCTTGGCTTTTGCTGGCCAAACTGCCAATTAAAAAATTGCAACCATAAAATATTACTAATCAAAATAAGGGATTTTTATTTTTCTTATTTGGTAATACAACAAAAATATAGGAACCATTTTTCTACTGTGATCTGAAAGTTCAAATAAATATATCAAGCAATAAACTGGAAAAGCAAAAAAGGAGAAAAAGAAAAAGGGAATCCAAAGGTCTTATTAAACGTGTTTGAAAAAAAATTCCTTTCTATTCTCTTTCTTTTTGTTATTAAAAAAAAATGTAAAACTGAAAGGAAACTACATTGCTAGAATCACCTATCAATTTGATAAAATTAACTTTGGAAAATACCCAGAGACAAGTACCAAAAGATGAACACAAATTTTAGATGAACTCGGAATGAGAGGAAATGATGGGCTCACCGGCGTCGAAGGGAGGAGGAGCCCAATCAAATGACTTTATGTGCATTGAACCAAAGAGAAGCTTACTGAAGACTGTCATGTTGGGGTGGTTGTGGAGAGGAATCACACCTGAGGGAGGCAAGCAGAAAATACCAATCTGCCAAAGAAAGATAAAACGGTGAGAGATCGAGAGATTATATGTTACATAGACACAAATATGTGTGCCAGCATATGATAAACAAGTGTCACATATATCGATCTCAAAATTGGCTTTTCAGATACAACTTGTCCCACCGTTTAAAAAGGGTGGGACCTATTAAATGTTTAGAAGTGTCTTTTCCTAAAATGTCATACATTCGCCTGGGTCCTTGGTGTGTCAAAGACAAAAAATACGATGACACCCATGTGCATGTCACATAGGAGAGAAGAGTAGTTTCTTCATTTATGTGTGAGAGAGAGATTCTACCGTCTTAGAGGCCTACATTTTGAGAAAGACACAGTGTATTTCAAAATGGAGTATACTTGAATGGAGAGACAAAACTGTACGCACCAATATATCATAACCTTAAAAATCTCACAATGGACATTCCAGAAAGTTGTATATTGCCACTTATCCAGATTTAGCAAAGAAAGATAATATAAATTTGGGCACAGTTAACTTACTGAGAAGTTATCACACTCATATACGTGAAGATAGGTAATTGGTGGGTAGCCTTCATTTTTCTCTGCCTCAAAGTATGGCATAAGCTCATTGAGACCAACATCCGATGGTTTCATGCTATCTGCAAATAAGAACTGATTCTCAGAAAGAAGTCCTCACTAAGAGCCTTAACAAAAAAAATGCAGAAGCAAATATACAGTTGGTTAAGCATTGCAACGAATATACAAAAAAACAGATGGATAACAATCATAAGTTCTTGTGAGGAAGAATAAAAGAAAAGACGGTCCAACAAACAGAAGCGAAGGCACTATATTACAAGTATGTGTGTGTGTACGCGCGCGCATATACACAAGCACATTTATACATTATGAGGATAAATTAGGGAAAAAAATGGAATAGTTGGGTCATATTAGAGAACTTCACATGCATGTGGCTAGAGTTATAGGAGTAATAAATATAATGAAAAATTCACAACTACAAGTTAGGGCAAGAAAGATCTCTCAAGATCAGATATCTTAAGTTTAATCTTCTACTGTTTCATACCTCGTGAGACCTTGTTCAAGGCATGTTTTGGGTTTCTTTGAACTTTTTGTTTTTGTAAACTATGTAGCATACAAACAATATCTTATCAGTTATATAATATATTATATGTATTTTACCATGGCATACTAATGCTGTTACTAAAGTACTATACAGTCCTTTATTTTTTTTGGAGAATAAACTATACTATACATAGTCATTATTATACAAGTTATAATATCTGTCCTATTATAAATGAGCTTATTGGTTTTGTATAGTGTTAAATCCCATTAACAAGTCATATTGAAAATATAGTTCATTTGTATTTTTTTGTTTAATGGATAATATTTGGTATCATCTATGTTCAGCTATCGTTTAAAAAGTTATTATCAGTACCTTATTACACTAATAAAAAAATAAAAACTTGTACTCAATTACAATGTCCTATATTAGTAATAATATTTTCCTCGATGATTACTATAAGAAATTATTATTATTATTATTAAGACAAATAATTAGCATATTAACATTATAATATATTTCATTTTTTAATGATCTCCTCCTTTAAAATTCCAGGCCTGATATATCCCACATTGCAGGGGCCATTTGGCACTTTTGACTAGCTTGACTCATATTATCTTCACCACAAAGGGAATGAGTGTCAGTATCTAAGATACCTGTAAAGTGTCCACCATGGAAAGCACTTTCTTTATATTTTCCGTTCATATTTTCAATTTAAACCACAGGTTATCTGGTGGCGTAAAGCTGTGCCCTCTCTCTCTCTCTCTCTCTCTCTCTCTCTCTCTCTCTCTCTCGCACACGCACACGCACACACGCACACGCACACGCACACGCACACGCACACGCACACGCACACGCACACGCACACGCACACGCACACGCACACAAACTCTATTAGATCCCCAAGAGTTCATCTACCTATCTTCTCCCTTTCTCCTTATCCCATTTCTTATCCATTTATCTTCTTGATAGACTCCTTATCTTTCAAAAGACCAAACCATTGACAAATGCAAGAAATTGGCTGATGGGTATTATTTATAAGCCATATGAATGCCACAGATTAAAAGGACACGTTATGTGTGGTATGGGAGCATCTCAAGCTTCCATGAAACTCAGTAACCACCTAGGAGCAGTTTTAGATTTATTATTTCATGTATCCTTACAATAAACATGTCTGTGCATTTTGGACATCATGTATCCATACGAGAATGCAAATGCTAACATGAGACATGACAATAAGAGTGAATATTGTCCTCCAAATATTTTGCTCTATTCCCCTTTTTATGACACCTTTATCTTTTGTTGCAATGAAATAAAAATAAAATAAAGAAAGAACTACAATCACCAAAAACTATATTTTTTTTTTTTCTCAATAGATCTTTCTGTTTTACAGGTAGTACATGTCTTTGTGGCCAACCACTGAAAAAATTAAGTAGAATTGAAAAATTGTTTTCTTGGATGAAGGAATCAAGGTTTTCACAAACACCAATGAAACATTAGGCTTTCATGAATTTGTAAATATCTCATTTTCAAGCAACTATAACTTGGAACAAAAAGAAATATAAGACAACTATAAACATTGTGTGTAGTTGATAGATATATTCATTTTAAGAAAATTTAGCCATTTTCCTCGGAAGGCAAGTTTTTTTTTTTTATCACTGTGAGAAAACTGAGCCATCTTCTAAGAAGACAATTTTTAAACACTCAGAAACTTGAGCCATTTTCCTGCAAGTATATAACAATGTCTACAAGCACAATGATACAAATTTTTCCAAAAAATGGTTTTTCTATTTTTCAATCTCAATATTTAAAGACTAAGCACAAATGCAAAATCTAGAGTTGTATAATACAAATCAAAATCTAGAGTTATAAAATATAAATCTCAGAAACAAGACAACCCACCCTTAAAAAAAAATATGGATATATAGAGAAGTAGGGAGAGAGAGGGGAAAAAAACAAAAAATGAATAGAGAACTAATAAGAACACATTGCAATCAATTAGAATGAGAAACATGCATATATGTCCAGGTGCCAAATCAGAATGGGCAGAGAAAGCCAAATCCCTTTGAATGGCAATGGCCTATAAGACAGTGTACATGCCACGCAACAGAAAAATAAGTCAAAAGAAAGGAAGTTCCTCAAAAAAGTAGGTAGGTAGGCAGGTAGAGAGAGAGAGAGAGAGAGAGAGAGAGAGAGAGAGAGAGAGAGAGAGAGAGTAT